AAAAGCCGCCATTGATGTTATTGAATGTGGCGCTGTGTGCATAGCGGCGGAAAATGTAATTATGTCTGACCGGGAAATTCAATAGCAAAAAATAATCGTCCTTTTTAACCTTTTTCAAGAACGAACATGGTTCATTAACCCCCTCCCTCCCAGCGTACGTTTTGTACGCTTATGAAAATGTTAATAATTATGGATGCTCTTACATATATACCACTATTTAATGATCATTTTTGATACTATGCTTTCATTTCATTCGTGAACAATATTTCAATTTATTTCAGTATTTATTTAATTCGTGTAGGTACATGTTAGCCTTTAACGTTGTTTACGTGCAGTTTACGTACAAATAGTGACGGCAATACAGTCAACGATTATATTTCGATATCTGTTGACTTAATCGCTTGTTTATGTGAAGTTTGAACAACGAAGTGAACCATGGGGGTTTTGATCACCACAAGGTTAGTTATAAAACTTATTCTATAGTAATTCATGCTTAATGTGTCTATCAAATAGACGCGCGAGGAACTTTTCCGGTTCATTGTATAATACGCTTGGCATGCATCGGAATTACTGTATTGGAAATAGCGACATGATGCCACTCAGCCATTTTTTCCCTCTCTTTCTCTCTCGTTTTGAACAAATACCCTCAAGAAATCGTCAGAAGGTATAAAGTTCTTACCGCAAGGATATATACCTGGGGCGAGTAGTTTTTCGACGTTGCTCCAAAACCAGCTACTCTAGGGGATCTAAACACCTCAGTTCATTGCACGGCGTCAGCGAGGGAATTTAGGTAATAACTGCAAGGGCGTGACACTGCTAGGAGCTCCCTGGCTGCCTTTCTGATAGATGCCGGAACTTCACAAGAAATAAAATTACAGTTTACCTATATAAAGACATCAGAGAACTGAAAAGATACTAAATTATTTATGGCTTGAAGATTTCCTTTGTTTCAGACTTTTAGTTTTAAAGTTACTATAAAGTTAATATAATAATATCCTGTTTGACCGAAACCGTCATGAAAAAGTAAGGTTTTATCTAATTTTACTTTGTGATATGTGTATACTGAGGGATGGCTTCAGTTACCAAGGAGACAGTGAGGAGTTTACGTGACCTTACCTGATTTCCCTTTTCCTTGCGTTATTCTTGACGTTATGATTATTAGTGTTACTTACAATATCGACGGCAATAAAAACACCCGAAAATCAAGGAAACCGTAAACAGGTAAGATTGGTCGGATTGGTGATTGACTTCTTGGTGATTAAGCAATTGTTGAGCCATTTATGTAAATACAATTAATAGACTAAATTCACAGTGGATATTAGATACCATTCCCAGCGCCATGAATTATTATTTTTTCATTCACATAATTAAAGGAAACTCAATGTAGTTTCCTGAACAACAACCACACGACTGGAAAATTGTAGTTCTCACAATGAACACTGTTCACTTTAACAGAAAATACAATGTATCAACACATTTCATATATGTTGAATTATCCAATTCTTATGCATTTACTTACAAAGACTTTTATTTCTACTGATTAATAACAATAATAATAATAATAATAATAAAAATAAACGGAATGTGCCGGTTCAGTTTCCCATTTTTGATGGTTAAGGCTTTGCAATCTCAACTCTGAGCTTTGATGACTTGCAATCAGTGCCGTAGCTAAGCCTTGACTCCTACCTGGAAAACAATAACTGTGCTATGACATCCTGGAATACTTTTTCAAAATCCACTTGGTCTAAAAAGAACGCTAGATCTGGTTATAGCCAGATTGACGTTCAAGTTCGCCAAAATGGCAACACGGCCAGGAATCAATAATTTTCCTTTGGCACCTCCCAGGAAATTAGCAATTGAGCCTAGAGACTCACCCGGAAATAGGAGATAGCCGTATTTTTCTTGCTGATCCTCCGTAACATATACCATACATCACAGCAATTGCACAAAAGCTTTCCCTCACTTCCGCAATTGTACTTAAACATTACCTTCTCCCAAGTAACACTCAATTTCCTGACATACAAATCCCGGTAATAGTCCAGCAGTATGTAGATTGTATAATAAAGTTAATAAGTATAATAACTGAACACTTGCCATTCGAAAGACCACTTTTGTAATAATTTGTACTTGGTGTTATTTTGCTTTTGTCTGAGTGAGGTGTATTTGGAACAAATACGTTACTTGTTACTTGTTTCTTGAATTTTTCTTTACGTGGACATTTAATGTAGACTTTGTGAATGAACGATAAACCTTATGGAAGTGTTTACAATATTTTACAAATCAGTTTATTTGAAATATGTGATATTTCAGAAAGTAAACTTTCATGCACTGGTTCACATCCATCCCAATTACACACAGCTTATTTGTTATAGTTAACATATGAAGACTAAAAGATGTAATAGACATGTAATTGACATTAAATGATCACACCCTTGTAGTATAGTTTACCTTTTTATGATATCTACAGGGAACTTAGCCAGGTTGATTCCATTTAGTACCGAGTTACGTTAACGGCACCAAAAGCATTAATTCTCTTTTAATTCAGCTACGCCGTTACATATAATCGGCCTTTAATATCATCCGATTATATCAACAAACTGACAGATGTATTAAGTTCCCGACACACTAGATGCACAAGCAATATCGACAAGGAGGACGAAGTGAAGGGAAAGATATAGATTATGCCTGCCTCATCCTTGAATTGTTTACTTTTATATCACCTTTCTTTTTTTCCGGAAAATCTAGAATCTAGTTTTGCCAGCAACTTTTCTGTCTAATC